CTATAATTACAGGGACAATTTTTATCACCTCTCTCTCGAAATAGAGGAGTTACATTAGCTAACTTCCAATCCTCTGGTACCTAACCACTATTCAAGGACTGAGAAAAAAAATAGTAGTAAGTGGCTCACATATTCAACCTTTAACCTACTTCAAAACCCTTAGGGAAATATTGTCTGGCCCAGGAGCCTTATCGTTCTTTAAACTTCCCAAGTTTTTCTTAACCAGCTCAGAATTAATGCAGTCATCTTGTTTCCATCTATCAACTGTTCAAAATGTGGAATACTGCTTAAATCTTCCTTAATAAAAACTGAAAAAAAGCAAAATTTAATAACCCAGCCATCCCATACAAGCCTTCCTATATTATCCCTCAAGCCACTACTCCCTCCCACTTTAGTACTCTATCCCTATTAAATAGCCTGTAACCCTGTATTTCAAAGACATTTCTGTCATCAAAATCATCTACATTTAGCCAGTTGTTCCCATTATATTAAAATCCTCCATTCCTGCCTGTGCTCTAAAGTCATCTATATTACTTCTTATACTTCTAGCATTAAAATAGTAACAGTTAAGCCTTTCCTTGTAACTACTTTTATCTTCTATACTCATTTCCTATGCTAAACTTTTCTCTGCCTCGTATTCTTTTAGCATTTAGTTTATCCTGGCCCTCATAATTGTCTAGTCCTAGTTTAAAACTTCCATTAAAAGTTGAGTTAATAGTCATAGCAAACAAGCCAGCCCTATCTTATTTAAATGTAATCCATACAATCCAAAAAGCTCCCTTCTTCCACTGAACTGATCCCACAAGTCCAACCAGCCAATCTGCTCATCCTTACATACTAAACTAAGCCTAACATTTAGCCCTAGTGACCCTACTTATGAAACTTTATGAAAAGGTATAAAAGTTTTTATTTTCTACAGCAGATTGTTAATATTTTTCTTTGTATACCACATGGAATAAATTATTTGTTCTCAAATCTATAAATATTCTTCAAGAATAAGCTAATATACTACTACTACTACTACAAAAAAACAGGCATTACTTACTTGCCTTTAACTTCTGAAGTTAACAACAGAAACAAATAAAAAACAAGACATAATACCATTTTCACATAAACTTGTGCAACCTTTTACAGATTACCATCATTCAAGGAGGGCTAAAGCCTCCCCCTCAGCCATGAACTTTTACAATTAGTGCAAAAAATACATAATAAAAATTGCATATTTATATAGCTCAATATTTATCTTATTTGAAACCACTTTTAAAACAATGAGAAACATTTTATTTGCTCAGTAACCATTACATTGTCACAGATGATAGTTATAGCTTTCTTGCAGTCTACCAACTACGAGTACTCTTTGTTAGACACAGAAATCCAACATATAGAGTATCACTGATGTGAGAAATAACTTCTTATTTTGTATATTCCTATACCATAGAGCTCAATTAATTTTGTTTTATTTCAGTAAATTTCTTTATGTATTTTTTATTAAAAAAATGTTAAAATATTACTTAAAAGAAAAATATATTTCCTCAAAACTACAGACTGACCAAGACTATTATTAAAATATTTTTGTAATTATCTAATAACCTTAGGACTAGTTTAGTAAAACAACTCTTATTCTAGAATATTCTAGAAAATGTTCACATTTTCCATATGATATGTTATGTATCTACACATTTAAACTATATTTCATGTGATAAAATCAAATCAATAAATCAATGCAACTTTCTTAATAATTTAAAAAATAAAGCAAAACTTAAAATTTAATCAAATTTTGAATTATATAATAGCTTAACTAGTGTAAAGGTATTGTCTTAATACATACATTTTATTAGTATAATGGTCACTCTACATTGGATTATCATAAAAAGAATCCTCATTACTCCACACTGCTGTTTGCTCAAGTATATTACTCAAACCTACAGCCCTGTGTTCATTTTATTAACTCTGCTATTTTTAGTTTAATAAAGTTTATTCTAGAAATCTATTTACAAAATTGCATTGTTTGAGGTAATCTAACATAATAAACATCCAAGTATGCTTAATTTTTTCAAGATATCAATAGTTTTTCATCTCATTAGCTTGGCCACCTATTCAATACGTGAGGGTCAGATCCAATGCCAGCCCCCAACCTAAGGGTGTGTTTCAAGTTTGGATGAGATTGGTCAAAGACTTTAAGCATGAAAGGCAGACATACACACAGATTAACACTTTGTTTTATATGTATAGATCAAATTTCCTAAATCTATTCTGTCTTTCCATAACAATGGCACTACCAATATTCTTTTAAATGTCTCTATAGATCAAGTTTCTAAATAATTCATGAGAAGCTGAACACTAGATGGCACTATTGTACTGTAAATCTTCAGTCATGGTAAGGTAATTAATACTAGAACTCTAATAAAGTGAATTTATCATTACAAAACAATGGCAAGTGAACTAAATCTTCAAATGTATAATAGGTTACAACAGTATTGAATGGTGAACACTACTATTAACCTTAAATCCATATTCAAAACAAGATTCTTGGAGAAAGTCATATTAACCCTCAAATTACTCCATACCCTAGAAGTGAGGTTTATATAATCAGTTCTTCCAACAGTGACTTCTGCTGTAAAACTTAAAAATAAAGGATAAATTTGACAGATTACAGGCTATTTTGGTGCTATCTCTTGCAGAGTTGTTATATTTTAATCAAACAAGTCCTACAGAACCAATATTGGTATACATTTCAAATAGTTTCCCATCATCTACTTAACAACCTTTCTTATCTTGTAACTGAGAATATTCATGTCACTGGCCACAATCTGTGCCTGCTTCAGTGCACATGAAAACTACAGCGAAGAACTGAATTTTAAACAAAGAGCAAAAAATTATGTTTCTTCATAAATAATTTTTTTTGTTTACAAGATGAAGCATTATAAAACAGGTCAACATAGGCTATTACGGGCTCTTTAGGCAACTATATAGGTTTTAAAATGCAAAAACCTTCTGAAGAATACAACTTAGAGGTTTGTAGGGAGTCCTGCATATTGCAACTTAGAGTATTTTTAAAATTTTGTGTATAACTCACAATACTTAAAGAACTGACCAAATGATGATGTAAAACCATTCATTTTTCTACATACAATACGTAGAGAACCCTAACAGGAATTGGTAGGATAAACTACAATATTTATGGCTTTTATTATATAAACTTGTGACTTGTATGTCAATAGTAAACATGTAACCAACGAAGTGATAGACCAACCAATATGTTATAAAATTAAGAAAAATGTGTTCAAGAAACTATCAGTAATTCTAGGACTAAACTCACTCTTAACTTCACTTCATCATCATTTCTGTCACCTCCAACAATTGCTTTCATATCAAGATTGTTTTTGAAGGCACAGGTAACATGGTAGGCAGTTTTACAGGTTTTGACCTAAATATACAGATTTACAGTATGAAATTAAAAAACAATATTTAATTACACAATGAATTGTTAATGTTCACATTATATTAACCTTGAAAAGCTTTCTATGTAGGATAAAAATGGGAAATTATAAAAACTGGGAAAAAATGACAAACATTAATATAATTTTAATACTTTTAGCAGCTTCATACTTACATATTTAAATTATAATAATTACTAAATCATTCACTTGACCCATACATAGACAATTAATGGTATTTTATATAAATGTGAGACAATATACACTTTGTATTTATAGAACTTTAATAAGAGAAAATTTCAGAAAATCCAAGTTCCAAACACTGAGTAGAATAGATTTTTTACTCAAAACTTAAATGTATTCTTATTATAGTAGAACTCTGGACAGTTACAAAGTTTAAATAACAATTTAACCACTTACTGAGCACTGAATGCAGCAACCTTTTCTTTCTTGACAAAAGGTACACACTAAGGACCATCTTCTGGACTATACAAAAGAAACATTCTGCATTAATTGTCACTACCCTCATAAGTATTGTCAATAGTTTTACAAAACTTTAAAAAAAATCTTCCTTTCATACCAATATTTGATCATACCTATCCATTATATTACGATATTAATGGGGTTCATAAATAAGTCATTTTAATGTCTTAGCTCTGTTTCAGCTTTCCGTGATGCTTATCCATTTCTAACCATTGAAAGTTCACAGCTGTGAAACAACATCTTTAACACGACTGATCACGTGCTATTTTGGTGATAATTCACTACGGAAATAGTCTGATCTAGAAGTTTCCTAATTACTTACTGTGACCTAAGAGTATTGAAAATGTGAAGTAAGATAAATATCTAATTAGCTGCAGATGTACAGTTCAAGTGAAATGTCCAACATCAGCTCCTTGAACAACCATCGAAATCTCAGCACTTGCATTCTGCTACTCCTGTGCTGAATATGCCCACCCAGCTCTCAACTCACACCAAAAATCTTGACTCCATGCTCTACAGCAGTCTGCCTAAAGCCAACCAACACAAACAGCCTGTACATATTTTCTGGAATTGCCCATCAGACATCAGAAGAGTAGTCGCCAGCAAAGCAAACTTGGTAGATACAAGACCAATAGACACTTTCTATATGGCCACATGGAAGTGAGAAAGTGTCTCATACCACAGAATAGTTTCTAAAGTTCAACTGAACCACTGGACACTATGGCAGAGACCACACACGAAGAACTATGGATACTCTACCTCCAAGAGCTTCCACACACAAACATGGGCATTACACCAGCTGAGCATACCTCCATAAGAAAAGTTCAACTGAACCACTGGACACTATGGCAGAGACCACACATGAAGAACTATGTATACTCTACCTCCAAGAGCTTCCACACACAAACATGGGCATTACACCAGCTGAGCATACCTCCATAAGAAAAGTTCAACTGAACCACTGGACACTATGGCAGAGACCATGCATGAAGAACTATGGATACTCTACCTCCAAGAGCTTCCACACACAAACATGGGCATTACACTAGCTGAACATACCTCCATAAGAGTGGAAAAGGGTTGGAGTACCTGGAAAGCCATTAATTACCTAGGTTTGCAGATCGAGGACCACATGGTGAAATGCAGGTACTACAGCTGACCTGCTACTGTGATGAGAGGCAGATGATGCAACATCTACTTGTCTGCCCACAACTCCAGATCTCATGCAGTCTGTCAATGAACATCTTTCAATACTTGGCTAGCTTCACAAGATGTTTACGTACCGATAATTTGCTGACTGGTTTGCCATTTCCATTAGATGTCTAGGCAATAAGATTATCTGGAACACTAGACTTTAGTGGCACTTGTACTTTCATAGCAGGAATCAAAGTGGCCCATAACATTACGTTACTAACATCATTGTGACTGGCAAACACATTTTAGGGGTCCACTACACACCTGCATCTCAAACTTTAATATTTAAGTAAAATATAATTTCATACTCTACTTCAACAATTTCAAGCATAAAAATATTTTAAAATCGGTGTTTTGTCATTTTGTAAATATATTTGTACAGTGTAATTTGTAAAAAAAAAAATTTTGAACCTTCGCTTATGATCATCTCCAAAGTCTCGCCTGTAAAACAACATAATTTTTCTGTCCATCCCAGAGCACAGGTTTATATTTACTAAGAAGGTATCATCTCTTGAGAATATAATTATCTACATCGGCTATACCGAAATTTTACTGTGGGACCCATGACTTGCTATGTATGATATTGCTAGACTAAATCATTCAGTAGCAATTAGAAGATCATGTTTCTAATCAAACAGAATAAAATACATATGGCTACTGATAATGAAATTTAGTAGCCAGGTTGTAGAAAAGCAGAGTGTGTTGAAAAAATGCTCAGTTAGTTGGTATGTAGTTATTGGTTCTTTGTCCAATACATTATCTTGCAGAATCAAAATCATATTTGGAAGTATAAATTCACTATTTGTGATTTTCAGCCTTTTTCAAACCCACCAATTTAGACTGGATCCTTTCATGGTTTCCCCATGCACTTGAAGTATAGATAAAACTACTGAAATTTGCTTCTTAAAGTCTTCAAAACAGATGAACTCACTGTGACAAAATTACTTCAATTGCATACCAGTATATTATTAGTGTTTTTGAGATTATGACTGACTAAAAAACACCTCTCTGCTGATTCATCAGTAAGCATGAAGGCTTGTAACATTAGAATGTCAATTTGGATCCTCAGCGTAGAAGACTTATTGTGTGGCTTTCTGCTAAAACAAACAACTAAAGAAGTTTACATTATTTTTGCAGTTTTATTCTGTTTTATGGAATTTCAACAAATACTTGGGATTATACAAAGCTCACACATAAATTCATATGTCATAAATGAAGTACCAAATCTGCAAAACTGACTTACTACACAAAGAAAGTTATTTACTAGAAACTACTGTCTTATGTCTAGGCAGTGTATTCATATCAAAAACTATTCTAAGACTATTTCATATTATGTCACATAAGCTCAACAAAACTTGCGTATTCAAACACACTACAGTACAATTTATTAAATGTTTGTGAAAGCCAAGTAAATATTGCACCACAGTGTCCCCAATTTTTTCTGATTGTACAGGGCAGCAGGTCAAGTTATAGTTGATATAATCTTCTTCACAACAGACAGAACCTTATGTTGTAGTATTTATTGTTTCAAAAACTAAACATATAACACATGTGTTAAAGTGTTTTCAAAAGATAAGTAAAACTTACTGGGATGTCTGATATATTGGAGAGTGGTTCCATCTTTACAACATCTCTGAACCTGACCTCTGGAATCCAGAGAGCACAACTAACGTGGGCCCATTTTTGATCACTACAAAAAACACTTTGATTTATCATGAAAACAGAAAAATCAAAAGTTTCTTTCACATACGCATACTTATGAATACATATAAAAACAACTTTAATCCATATAATTCACAGATCTTCAAAGTACTGTTAAAAATCTATATAAAATCCATGAAGTTGTCTCTACAAGAGATTTCACATAAGCTCAAAATGTTTAAAATATTTCCTTGATTTTTTTTCTCTCTCTCTCTCTTTGATGCAGGAAAATTAACTCACCTTGTGTTCTTCATAGCCCCTCCCTTATTAGGACAAAGAAGACATGATGGCCCAACGTTGTGAGTGCACGTTTTACAAAGCCAGCTACCTTCAGGAATTTTGGTTATTCCATAGCATGCTTGATGCACACAGACGTTACACGAATCACAAAACACCATCTCATTTCCTTCTTCCGAGTCAGGCTAAAATAACATTTCTAATCAGCTTAACTTCTTAGATAAATGCTGATGTTTAAACTTTTAAAATTGGAAAACTGTTTTGGTTTAAAAGCACACAAGTTAGAATCAAAAGGCTAAACAACAAATATCCACATCTCATGTTTAAAGTTCAGAAGTTTTTCACATTTGAAGTACACGGAAAAGTTTGAGTCACAACAAGGTTAAATTTTGAAAATTTTGTGAATCTTAAAGAATTGTAGAAGTTTCATTAACATTTATACAGCATTAATAATGACTTCAGACAATTTTCTTATTTAATATAGTGAGAAACATGCTTTCTTTTCATCAGTACTGACATTAACAATATAAGTCTATTAACTTAGAATGCACGTGCAGACCTATGAAAAATTATTTAACCATTTAAATAATTTATGCTTATAATTTCCATTTACACTTTATTCAACACAAAATTCAAGCACTTTATGACTTTCATGAATAATCTTCAAATTTTTAATTGTCACTAAAGCCAAAAATAAATTTTGTTTTAATAATGAAATTGTATCCATGTTACTTATAGCCAGTTAATAAAAAATCACTGTTGAACTTAGCAGTCAGTGCTTTATGCCTTTAATATGGCTACTTAGGGCTAATTCTTGCAGAGGAAGCAAAAAACTTCTGCTCAAGTAACTTCTACCCTTCTTTAGTCATGACTTGTATACTTGTTTATACAGCTATTTATTGTTAAAAGTACTTCTTCCAAGCATTGCCATTGATTGCTGTGTCAAGTAACTCAAACAAACAATGCAAATAATGACAAAAGTGAGAAAAACGAAAAACCTAATGAAGAGTATGCACTGATTTTCAACGAACAATGATGAAATATTTTGGTTTGTCAAACATATTTAGTCAAGGTTTTAGAAATTCTACACTACAGTAAGTAAAGTTAAATTTTAACAGACTCTAAATGCATTAAACTATCACGGTTCTGTTGATTTTCAAGGATCAGAAGCTATTTTGACAAAATATAAGGGGTTTTTAGGGCATTGAAATTCGTCTATCAAAATTCAAGGATGTTCAAAGTGCATATGAACATATACAGAGTAAATTTTAATATTTAAAGAAATCCTAATGTATAAATTAAAACCAATAATAATATAACAGAAGAGGCACATTCTCTTTTATAGTGCATATTTTTCTCACTATGCCCTATTTTAACTCTTTTTAACAGATTTTAATGAATGGATTAGAAAGTTACAAATAGCATAACCAACTACATTTTAAAGACATACAAGAGAAATGACTAATCTATAAAAAAAACTGCTTAATAAATAAGTTTTAAAAGTACTGAAAATTAATCACTTTAAATAGAATTTCTGTTGGAATATACATTGAAATTTACAACATTATTACAAGTAATCAAAAATAACTTACAGATCTACAAACATCACAGATAACATCTTCATCATACTCAATATCCAGTCCTTCTTTACTTTTAATAGCTTCTTGAAGGTTTGTAAAGCACTAACAGAAAAATGATACAGTCATTACTGGAAACAGTTCAAAGTTCAAAAATAAAGAATTAATAAAATATACATAAAACTGTTGTACTTTACCAGTAGAAAATATGTAAAAAAAATTATGACTGGTTATAATTCACAGCGTCATCATTCTGGAAAAGACTGCCCACAATGAAAGATATAACAGGGAATAATTATAGTATTTCGGCACTTGTGTATAAAGTTACAATCATAAATAATATTCAACGTATAAACTGGTATGACGTTGTAACATCTAAACATGTAGAGTCGTCAACTTTTTGAAAGCCATAGATAGGCCCAAATAAAATGTTTTTAATTGTGTACCAGTTTAACGTTGAATATTATTTATGATTGT